GTTCCACATCTTCTCTTGCTTGTCCAGGAGGCATCTCAGATGAACTTGTCCACAAGCGCACTCCTGATCTGTGTTCCCGTGTCTTGACTGTCTCAGCTAGTAGCAACCCAGTTCTTCCACTGCCCAGGCCAGAGACCACAGGGTCACCCTTGACCTGTCTCTTCCTCTCCACTCCACATCTAATCCTTCAGGAATTCCTGGAAGCTCCACCTTCAGAAGATCCCCAGACCCCAGCCACAGAGCACTGCCCCTGTCCCACTGCTGTCTGTCTCCTGGATTGTCCAGCAGTCTCTCCGGGGTCTCCTTGGGCTGTCCTTGCCTCCCTTCATCTCCCCTCAACACAGAAACCAGAATGATCCTATTAAATTGCAAATCAGTGCTTGCTACCCCTCTACCTAAAACTTTACAGTAGCTTCTGTCCCCACCTAGAGTCAACTCCTGGGCCCCTTGCCTGCCCTCCAAGGCCCTTGGGGAATCTGCCTCTTGTTATCTCTCAGCTTTCATCCCAAGGCTCTTCCTCCCGTCTCATTGTGCCCCTTGAATACACCAGCATCCTCTTTGCCCCAGGCCTTTGCACTTGCTGCCCCCTCTGACAGAATTCTCTTCGCCCAGACATGGATGGGCAAGGCTCACTCCTCCACCTCATTCTGGGCTTGACCCAGATGTCAGCTTCTCAGTGAGGTCTTCCTTCCATCCTATTTAAAAAATCACACTCCCCCTCCACTCTTGTCCTGTGTTATTTTTCTCTGCAGCACATTCCCCCACCTAACATTTGTCAGTATTACAGATTTTAGGGTATACATGATTTTCACATTTTATCGAATCTCTAGAATCCAGATGCAATTTATAATAGATGGCAGGTCATAGTTTAATTGACAACTATTTTCCTTTCTTAGTAATGTATGAAATAGTACACTGACTTGACTTATTGATTTGTTTATCTGGTTCCCGCAGACTGGATTGTAAGCTCATGAGGACAGAGATTCTCATCTGCCTTCAATCCTACTGTATCTCTAGCCCTCAAAACAGTGTCTGGCACATACAGGCTACTTAGCTATGTGTGTACTGAATAAACAAATGAATGCCCTCCAAGGGAATCATTTTCCAAAGTAGACCACATTTATAGCCCAAAATAGACAGTATATCTCGTTGGAATTAATAATAATCTGATGGCAGTGTTATACCTCCAAGCTGTCATTATATTCTTTCCTCCTTGCCCCTCAAACATGGCCTGGCATGTTCTGAACTGTAATATCTGACACATCTGTCTTCACAAGAAACTATGAGCCCCTTGGGGGCAGTATCCTGTCTTACATGTTTCTATGGCTCCAGAGTCTGCAGAGTGCTCAGAGGATATATATTAAGTGAATAAATGAGTAATATACACATATTTGTGTTCATTTAAATTTGTTACAGGTGCCTAAAATGCACCAGGTATTTAGTTCCTGAATGGACTCTAGTCCTTACCTTGTTTTCTCCACTTGCTCATCACTGTTCTAGAAATTAACCTTTAGCCACACATGGGTTGGCAAAGTCAATGCCATGCACTGGTCCATTCTAATAGAAGGACAAACTGGGAGAAAGGATCCCAAGTGGACTAGGGAGCCCCTCCCCATCCCAGGTGCCACCTGAGCCACCACTTAGCTACTGGCCCACTTCACAAACCAGCTTATGGTATTTCTACCACCCACTCACACAACCACTGTTGTGTTTGGGGACAGTGAATTCACTAAGCCCCAAACCTGGTCAAGGCTTTTCCAAAGAAGACATGTTGAAATAATAATAAGACCTGTGAAGAATGATTAAAAAGTATTTGGTCATTCTTTCCCCTAAGGATGTATGGTAAATAGTCAAGTCACTGGAAATAAATCCCCTCTCTGGGGGGTTATATTCAGTGAGATTAATTTTGTGTGGGTTATTTTCATCTTAAGGCATCCATTTACACCATTCAAAGAAAAACTGTGTAGAAAGGTTTACTGAAGAGCAGTCTTGCTCCCCTGGCCTTTGCACTAAGTCCCACCAACTACCCTATACCCACTTTGATTAGTGTTGCCTTTACCTTTCCATTATTGCTTGTTGCACATGTTCATGTGATAATGTTCACTGTCCCTTGCACCTCAAATATGGTACGATATATATGTATGTATATACGTAAGCCAGAAAGAGAAATATATATATAGAGAGAGAACATATGTATTCTTATCCCTCTTTCCATTTTTAAAAGTTTTTTTTAATGTTTTATTTATTTCTGAGAGAGAGAGAGAGAGCATGAGCAGGGGAGGGTTAGAGAGAGAGGGAGACACAGAATCTGAAACAGGCTCCAGGCTCTGAGCTAGCTGTCAGCACAGAGCCTGACGCAGGGCTAGAACCCACAAACCACGAGATCATGATCTGAGTCGAATTTGGATGCTTAACAGACTGAGCCACCCAGGCACCCCCCTCTTTCCATTTCTTATATGAAATTAGCATACTACATATTCTCTCTTGCACTATTCTGTTTTTTCCCTTAACAGTACAGCCTGGGAATCTCTCCACATCAGCACCTAGAGGTCTTTCTCATTTTTTGTACATAGCTATATAATATCCCATTGTGTAGATATAGTTTATTCCTCCAGTCCCCCATTGCCGGTGCTTTGAGTTTTTCAAAATCTTCTTCCTTGACATTGGTCTTGGTGATGATCTTTTGGATCTGACTCCAAAAACACAGGCAACAAAAGCAAAAATAAACATGGGACTATATCAAACTAAAAATCTGCACAGCAAAGAAAATCATCAACAAAATGAAAGGCAACCTGCTGAATAGGAGGAAATATTTGCAAATCATGTATCTGATAAGGGGTTAATATCCAAAATGTATAAAGAACTCATACAACTCCACATCAAAAAAAAAGCAAACAATCCCATTTAAAAATGTGCAGAGACTCTGAATAAACATTTTTCCAAAGAAAACATACAGAAGGCCTTCAAGTACACAAACAGATGCTCACTATCACTGATCATCAGGGAAACGCAAATCAGAATCATAGTGAGATATCACCTCACACTTCTTAGAATGGCTATTATCAAAGAAACAAGAAATAGCAAATGTTTGCAAGGATATAGAAAAAAGAAAACCCTTGTGCACTGTTGGTGGTAAAACATTATGCAGAACTGCTATGGAAAAGAGGGTGGAGGTTCCTCAAAAAATTAAAAATAGAATTACCATACAATCTAGCAATCTCACAACTGGGTATATATCCAAGATTACACCCAGTGATAGCAACATTCCTCACAATAGCCATGACATGGAAGCAACCCAGATGTGTATCAGTAGATAAATGGATTTTAAAATGTGATTTCTTGATATAATGAAATATTATTCAGCCTTAAAAAGGAAAGAAATCCTGTCCCATGCTACAACATGAATGAACTTTGAGAATAGTATGTTAAATGATATAAGCCAGTTACAAAAAGACAAATACTGTGTGATTCCACTTACATGAGAGACGTAGAGTCATCAAATTCACAGAAACAAAAAGTAGAATGATGGTTGCCAGGGACCAGGGGAAGGGAAGTGGGAAGTTACTTAATGAGTGTGGAGTTCCAGATTTGCAAGATGAGAAAAGTTCTGGAGATCTGTTTCATAACAATGTAACTACATTTAACACTATTGAACTATACACTTAAAAGTAATTAAGATGGCAAATTTTATGACAACATGAATGGACCTTGAGAACATTATACAAAGTGAAATAACCCAGGAAGAGAAAGACAAATAAATACTTGTATGGTCTCACTTACATGTGAAATCTAAAAAACCAAACTCATAAAACAAAAAACAGATTGACTTGTCAGAGGTGGGGGATTGGGGAAATGGGTGAATGGGTCTAAAGGTGCAAACTTCCAGTTATAAGATAAATACGTTCTAGCTGTGTAATGTACAGTGTGGGGACTGCAGTACACAACACTGTATTGCATATTTGGAAGTCGTCAGGAGAGTAGATCTTAAAGATCTAATCATAAGAAAAAAAATTCTAGCCATGAGGTGATGGATGTTAACTTACTGTGGTAATCATTTCATGATAAACACCATATCAAATCGTTAATTTTTTAAGTAAACTCTGTGCCCAATGTGAGCCTTGAACTCAGGACCCTCAGATGAAGAGTTGCATGCTCTACTGACTGAGCCAGACAAGCGCCTCCCAAATCTTTATGTCGTACACCTTAAACTAGTGCAGTGTTACATGTCAATTACATTTCAGTAAAGCTGGGGGGGCAGGAGATGGTAAATTTTTATGGTTTTTGTCATAATTTAAAAAAAAGAAGTGCTCACTAAAGATTTGATGGAGGAGGAAACCAATGAATGAATAGGTTGGTGAATAAATGAGTTATTGGAAATAATTAACAACTAGCCCTTTCTTCCTCCTGGAAGCTGCCATCTCATTGGGGGTGTTTTTCATACTCTCCCCAGGAGCCTTGTCAGAATACCTTGTCAGCCCTGACTTATACTCTTGCCTTTTCCCATCCTCAACAGGGCGGTGCCCAGATCAGCCTGGCTGAGGTCTGTCGGTCTGGGGAGAGGTCAACTCGCTGGTACAACCTCCTGAGCTACAAATACTTGAAGAAGGAGAGCAGGGAGCCCAAGCCAGTGGGAGCCAAGGTCCCCACCCCAGACCCTGAACGCACGGTGAGCTGGGCCCCGGGTTTGCACTAGCCTCCTCTGTGTGCAGCATCTGGATGGGTAGCAGGAAAAGTTCTCCCAAAATTGGAGTAACTGGGCATCAGAGGTGGGGGAAGCAGCAGAGGGTATTGGAACAGAGAAGAAGAGGATGAGATAGGAGAGACCTCTGCAAAGGGGCACGTAGCCCTCCCCATCTGCAGCTTTCCCCTTCCGCATCTGTGCACTCCCCATCTGCACTTTGCTTGCCATAATATAACTTGCCTGAAAAAATATATATATAACTTGCCTGATGAAAACCTTAATTTATTATTTTTTTTAATGAAGGAAGGAGAAACCTGTGGAAGATAGAAAATTGACCTTTATTGAGATACTGCTATCTGCATAGTGGTCCATAGTGGAGGCTTGCTGTAAGAGGCAGAAAAAACACTGACCGGGTGTGTTTGTTAGTTAGGTGACAGGTCAGTCATTTCACCGCTGTGAGGCTCCACTTTTCTCATGCTGAATGCTTATCTAAAAAGGTGGTTAGGAAGGATTGAAGAAATTTGTGTAAAGAGTACTTGGTAAGTGCTTGATAAATGGTATCTGTTTCATTATTGTATATTTCTTAAAAATCTTACATTTGCCTATTTTTGTTTTAAAATACATATTGGTTTCATTTTAGTGCAATACACTTTAAAATATCCTTAAATTGTTTTCTGTACTTGGGAAGCTCACATCTGCTAGCCAAGTAGACTAGCCAGGACTCAACTGAGCAGTGAAGTTGCCCTTGGACGTAGATTCTCACAGCATACAGGATCCTAATGGGATCCCAAATAGAAAACGTTTGGGATTCCGGTTGGCTCCTAATTCTCTGTAGTGCTTCTTCCCTCTGTCAGTACTTGGTTACTTTGCACAGTCATTGCCCAGAATTTCAATGGAGGGGACGGGCTAGGTCAGGTGGTAAGGATAAGGGTAAGGATTAAATCTATTTACCCCTAACCTCTCCCTTCTTCCTCCTCCTCTTCCTTCTTTTTCATAATCATTATCATTTCCTGAACTTCCTTTTGTCAGGCACTGTCCTGTTTATTACGTGTCACTTACCAAGGCTCAGAAAGTTTATCCAAGGACATACATTCAATAAGCAACAAACTTAGGTCTTTCTGACTCCAAAAAGGAGTCCATGGGCTGACAAAGATCTTGAAAACATCTTCTACTTTCTAGAGCATGTCCTTGGGTAAGTGACATCAACCTTGGGCACAATTAGTTTCCTTGTTCCCGTTTCTCAAGGAAATAATCATAATCTCTATCTTTCAGAATAGTTTTAAAGATTAAGTAAGATGTTACACACAAACTCTCTGTCCAGTGCCTGATGTATACCAGGACTTCAAGTGATTTTAGTCCCCTCTTCCTCGAAAGAAAATTTCAGGGATTTTCCAAGCTCTGGCCCACACTAGTAAGGGTATTTGCAAATTAGCCATGTGCCCAGAAAGCTACAAGATCAGTTTTTTATTTACTATGAGCTGCCATTTACTGAGTGCTAATTATGTACTAAGTACATATGTGCTAGGTGCTAGGCACTCTTCTTTATATATCTTATGTAGATATTCTCAATTAATCTTCATAACAACAGTTTGTAGTAGTTTTTAGAAGCTACTCTAGAGGAAATTGAGTCTCAGAGAGGTTAATGTCCTCAAGTGGCACAGGTTTCCTCACTGTAGACACCATTCAGTATAGATGTTCTTCCTCCAGGAAGTCTTCCCTGAATGCAACCCAACCTGACTTTGCCATTGCTCCATTGTTCCTAAACATCCAAAGCTTAACCTCTGGCAAAGTCCTTATCACATTGTTTCACATTATCACATTATTGACAGTGCATGTGATGGTCTCCCTGACTACACTATAATCTCTTTACAGCCAGAGACCTATATTTCTGCCTTACTCAACTACTGAACTTGACTGTCTTTCAAAAAAGTCTGTCTGTGCATACAGGAGTTATTCTCAGGAGAACTGCCAGTTAGATTAACTAAGTGCTGTATTTCCAGTTTATAAGTGACCTTGGGGCAAGACACTTACCCACTCTGGACTTCAGTTTTAGTCTTAGTTCACAGGGAAGGTCACACTCTAAGCTCTGATTCTTGCAAATAGTATGCAGATGAACCCTTGGGCATTTGTCTCCACAGGATGCCGTGTCTGCTCTGTTGGAACAGACAGCAGTAGAGCTGGAGAAGAGGCAGGAAGGAAGGATCAACACACAGACCCTGGAAGACAGCTGGTAAGTGAGATCACCGGGCCTCAGGAACTGATCTGGCTTGGACCTGGACACAGGAATGAGATGCCCAAACTCCAGGACAACCAAGAGAAAGAAGCATTCCTCTGGGAAGACAGAGAACCTTTCTCCTCATGGGTTCTCGACAGGCAACAAGGCAGTACAATTGACCCTTGAACAACGCAGGGGCTAGGGGCACCAAGCCACTGCATGGTCCGAAATCTACATAGAACTTTGACTCCCCCCCCAGACTTAACTACTAATAGTCTACCAATTGACCAGAAGTCTTACCAATAACATAAACAGTCCATTAATACAAACGTTGTATGTTATTTGTATGACATACTGTATTCTTACAATAAAGTAAACTAGAAAAAAGAAAATGTTAAGGAAATCATAAAGAAGAGAAAATACATGTACAGCACTGTACTGTATTTATCCAAAAAAAAAAAAATCCACATATAAGTGGATTCGTGCAATTCAAACCCATGTTTCAAGGTCACTGTGTATATAGCCTGATATGATGGTTGCCAAAATTTCTTCCCAATTTGTCATTTTGTGACCTATAATCACTCACGCTGGGTCACATATTAGTATCTGCCTTGGCTCGAATTTATTTTGGTAAAAAAAATTTTTTTTTACATTACTATAAATAGAAAGTAAGTATAATCGACCATATATGGAAGCGGTACCTGGGTGGCTCAGTTGGTTAAGCGTCCAACTTCGACTCAGGTCATGATCTCACGGTTCTTGGGTTCGAGCCCCGCGTCAGGCTCTGTGCTAACAGCTAGTTCAGAGCCTGGAACCTGTTTCAGATTCTGTGTCTCCTTCTCTCTCTGACCCTACCCTGCTCATGCTGTCTTTCTCTCTCTAAGAAATAAATTTCAAAAGAACATTTAAAATTTTTTTAAAAAATTGAAGATGTTTCAATAAGGAATTTCACCTGAGATAGAAACAGAGAGCAGAAATAATAGGCTTAAATAAGACAGCTTATTGCTTTGTTACTTAAAAAGAAGAATGGGAAGAAGCAACCCAAGGTTCATCTGTCAGCTCCATTGCGTTATGAAGAACCCAGTCTCCTCCTCTATTTCTGCTTTGCTATTCTTACTGGGTGGCTGCCATCATTGAGGCTTCTTCCTAGCTCAAAATGGCTGCTGAGTCACCAGCCAGCAGGCAAGCATCGGAAAACAGGAAAAACAAAAGAATGTGCCTGTATGCCTTTTAACCAAGGAGCATTCCTCAAAGTCCCACGTAGCAGTTTCCACTTGATTTTCACTGGCTGAGCTTAGCCATTTGGCCTACCTAACTGCAAAGGGTACAAAAATCAGGGTTCTGTTACTAAGAGTAGAAATGCATACTAGGGTGATTATGAGCCAAGTCTGCCTCAGAAGATAACTGGAAAACTTAAATGTAATGAAAATAAAGCAAGAGCATTAAAACCCACCTAGACATATTGCTCGCTAATAAACTTCTAGGCCTGAAGTCTTCTCTGTCTAGATATATTAAAGACATGCTGCCAGGGAGAGACTTCTCGGTGCCCACAGGAGAACTGGAATCAGCTTTTTCTCTATGTGGTTCAGTGCTTCTTAGTCTCTTGTATCCTGAAAGAGAAGTCTCAGTACACATTTAGGGAAAAAATGGTATAGACCAGGGTTCAAATGTTCGCTTCATGGTTATTTGTGTACCCTTTGGCAAAGCATCTGTAGCTTTTTCTTACGGCATGGCACAACACATGAAAGTTGCCCTAACCATGTGTAGCAACATGGATGGACCTTGAGGGTGTTATGCTGAGCGAAATAAGTCAGGCAGAGAAGGACAAATACCATATGTTTGCACGTATAGGAGGATTAGGAGGAACTTGACGGAGGACCAAGGGGGAGAAGAAGGGCGGAAATGGTGGGGGAAAGGGAG